ATTTTCACGCGTTGGAGCTGGGCAGAAGGCCCGTTCGTGTCCCCTTGTCGAGGCAGGGGCCTGCTGGTGACCGCTGTGAGGGGAGGCGAGTGAGGAGCGCCCCCGGTTCCGCTGCCCAGCAAAGCTGTAGTGTTGAGGCAGCAGTACCCAAACCAAAGGGTACGGCACCGAGCCGTCTTATACCAGTTGAACTGTTTTATCTTGGATAGGAGCACGTATTGGGAACAGGAGTGGTACAGCCACCGTACAGAATGTTGTTTATTATGGTAGACTCAAACAAGTACTTAATCATTCCGTCTTGACTTACTTGTGCAGCTTGACTCGGTGGGACTGGTTAACGTCAAGAGATGTCGACTCCCCCTCTCGCTGGGGCAGGCATGCAGCCTGGCGCTTTCTCAGGGACGCAGGCTCAAGCAGCTAGGGAGGTGAATACAGCTTCTCTCTGTCGAATTGGCCAAGAGACTGTGCAGGACATTGTGTTTCGAACCATGGAAATCTTCCAGTTACTGAGGAACATGCAGGTGAGAAATAACTTTTTCTTTTTGTGGTCGTCAACTTCCCATGTTTTTACCACCAACTGCCAGTATACATAGGCACAGGGGATGGCTGAGGTCATTTAAATATATAACTCAATCCAACGGCCTTGAAAAGGAGGCTTGATTGGAGAAGTGAATACTACTCTTAACATATTTGCTTACTCAGGTACATTAAGTGAAGATGGAGAAAATTCAGAAATGCTGGATTGTTATTGCCCCCACGATAAATATACTCTAAATAAGCTTAATATCTGTGTTTTCCTTTGCGAATAGCGAAGTCTGGTTTTATGCTGGTTATGTTTCTCTGTTTTTGTTAACACCTGGGGAGTAATATTAGAGGAATTCTCATTGATCCTTTCCTGTAATATTTTCCACCTAGAACTTTTTGACATTCTTTTTGTTATTAAAATGGGCATAATCCTTATTTGAGGCTACTTACTGAGAAAACATACAAAAATTTGTTGTGTTTCTCTGTTGAGAACAGAAAATAAATCACTCCCATTCCCTCTGTATTTTCATGGCTGCAGTTTCCTTCTGTAATTATCTTTGGTATAGGTATATGCACTTAGAATTTGCTGACTTTGAATTCACTTTGATTGTGTCTCTGAATTGTGACCTGGGGTTGAGACACAAAGTTTCAAAGTGTGATACTCATAACAAATAACAACAGTCTTGTGCTAATGCATTTTGAAGACGCTCACTGAAGAGAGTTACGGAGGGGTTGACAATGACCAAAGTGTAGAATACATTAAGCTGTTTGACAGCAGTGATTTGGCACATCAGATAAGCAGGTAAAATCCAGACTTTTGCTGATAAAGAAAACAGAAATTTCAATTATTTTGGTGGGGGTAATGTGATTTTCTTATTTTAAAATGTGCAAACCCCCCTCTGATTTATTTTAGTTCATTTATTTTGTGTGACAGAAACTTCCATGTAGTATTTTTAATGTTTTGGGGTTTTGGTTCTCTAAGTTACCGAATGGTGTTACTTACCATACTGGAACATATCAAGACAGACTGGGAAAGCTGCAGGAACATCTCCGTCAGCTATCAATACTCTTCAGAAAACTGAGACTAGTCTATGACAAATGCAATGAAAACTGTGCTGGGCTTGATCCTGTTCCCATAGAAGTAAGTATCTTTATTCATATATAAACTACAAATCAGAATAACCTCTCTGCTTAGCACATCATCCATTCTTCTGAGTCGCAGGAGACTCATAACAAGCTTTAAATAAGACTGGAATTGTTCAGTGGACTGAATTCTGTTTATTATTTGGAGCTAGTTGAAAGATTGTAAAACTTTTACATTAACATCAACAATTCTTACCAGTTGGGAGGGATCCCATTTTGAAATGAAACTTCATTTCAAATGTTAGCCTTTTTCCTCAGGCTTCTTGGTACATTCACCAATTTGTTTCCACTAGGGAAAAAAGAGTCAAAAGAGTGAGGGCAAGTTTGTGTGTGTGTTTTTGTTTTTGTTTTTGTTTTTTAAAGTGGTTGTTACAGTGGGAAAAAGTCTGCTTTAAGCTCTCACCTTCCAGCCTGGCTCCCTGAGTATTATGCATTTTCCCCTTGCTCTAGCCATCAGTCTGTGCCTCCATAGTTCCCTCACTCAGCTACTCTTAACCTGCTGAGCCAACACAAACCAAATGTGACCGTGCAGTGGTGATGGAAGAGCGAACAGCATAGGACTTCCAGGAACTAGGATCGGCCGAGGTTTTTCCTAATAAAAATGCTATTTCTAGTGAAATAAAAACTTCATTTTTTTTTCCCCCTCATAAGTTGTTTCTAATTCAGTAATACTCTTAAAGCCTGTGTTGTGTTATGATTTGAGTTACTATAGCTCTATATTAACTAGAACTGTGAAATTCTTTCATTACTGACCTCTGGATTCTGAGGCAGTTCAATTAATGGACTTCTGATTGTCCATTCAGTTTTAATCATTTAAGCATTATAATTTGTATTTGAATCTCTTCACTGGATAGGAATAAAGAAATGAAGGAGTCCATTCTGTACAGTCCATTCTAGACTACTAATCTACTTCTGTCAGCAGTCACTGCCATGTGTTTTAGAGAAAGGTATTCGGAAACTTAAGAGCAAGCAAGGGAGTAAGACCACTTCCCAATTAAAGAAATAAAACTTAATTCATGGTTTGTTGACTTGTGGGCAATAGCTCAATATTCATGTCCCCTTTAAAAGCTTGTATTAGGCTGAAAAAGAATCTCCTTAGAGAAAATGAGTAGTCCCTTTAAGCTTTTTCAATACAAGGTCTCACTGATGCCTTATGCACAGCAGAATTTTGTATCAATAGTAGGAATTCTTTTTTCTTTTATCTACTTAGTCTTTTCTGGTCTGAAGTTAATAGAATGCCTGCCTCATGTTTTATTAATTAGGGTGAATGAGAGTAGCACACCATTCCTCTTGGATCGGTTTTCTTAAATTCTTATTTCAGCTTTTCAGTAGTCTCAATCATATTATTTAATGACTGACATTCTAACCATCTTTAAAGAATATCAACAAGTCTCTTTTTTTAAACAGTTAAGAGAAGTCAGTACCTGCTGATACTCCTTAGTCTATTACTATTGATATAAATTTTTTAATATTTTTTTGTTAATGCTTACTACCAGTGTAATAGGTATTCATACCAACTAATTGATTATTTTTAGGAAGGGAGCATGCATTAGTATTTGTTTGGAAATGCTTCATCAGAGATTTTTGACTTTGTAGAAGCTTACAAAAAATATAGTACACTACATATTTAAGGAAACCATGGTTGGAAATTCTTAGGGAAAAAACTCCTATTAGATAACTGTGTGCCTGGTCTTAAGAATAGCCAGACAGAGGTCCACTAAAATAGCAAGTCATAATTAGGGTATTAACCAAGTAGCTATGTAAAGCCAGTCATAACTATGTTTAGTATATCACTGAAATACTTTGTAGTAATGATAACTTCATGTTAGTGGTATTTCATTTTGTGGAATAGTAAATTTTAAAATCACAGTCTACATAGAGTTGAAGAATACGAGGATTACCTGTGATAAACATCTTAAAATGTAAAGACTGGGTCTGCCTGCACTTGTGAAATTGCTTAGGTCTAGGTATGATAATATGTGGGATTGTGTCTTTTTGAAGTACATCATTTACTTGGAGAACCAGCTGAGGTCATTCCAAGGCCTTTGGGTTTGAGGTGATGAAGTAAGCCTTTCTTCACTTCCTCTTGGGAAGTTTGAACCTTTGGAGAAAATGGTAGTACCTTGTGTATCTCCTGTTTTCTGTTTCTTTTTCCTTTTTTTTTTTTATATATTTTTTTTTTTTAGCTAATGTTCCTTGTCTTCACAGCAACTTATTCCGTATGTTGAAGAAGATGGCTCCAAGCATGATGATCGTGGTGCTGCAAGTCAACTTCGTTTTGCTAGTGAAGAGAGAAGGGAAATCATGGAAGTAAATAAGGTAACCAAGTTGAAATTAATTTGCATAAAACTGTCGCTTTGTCATTACAAAGCTTAAATTTCTAGATTGCTGTACTAAATGCAGCATACATGATGACTACTGTCAAACTAGGCAATAAATACTTTTGCACGTAACTATTTCAGAATTATGTTTTTTGCAGGTTTTTTTTGGCTGTACCTCTGGCTGTAGAGTTTAGGTTTCCTAACAATTTTAACTTGTGCCTCTTTTTAAACCGATACATACTTCCAAATATGGTGTGTTATGTTTATGCTTAACCCGCTAGATATCAGCAGTACAGATTGAGGTAAGGTGCCTGTTGAACTTGCTTCTCTTCAAAACTTGCCTTAGGCATTAAAAAAATGGGTATTGAACATAAGATGTGTAAGTATTATCACAATGATGTGAGTTGGTAAAAGATTTTCAGGGCTACTTTCTGTATTTTGACAGTTTGAGGAAGACCATTCCTTTTGCTAAATGTAGCATTTATTGAATCTTGACACATTCAGAAAAAAAAGTCCTATGTATGATAAAGATGCTGTTAAATTTTCAGTTTGAGTGGCAGTATGCAATTGAGTACAACTACTAAAGATGGATTCAAATCTAAAAATGTGCTGTAGTAAAAGCTAATACAACACTGAGATTAGAAATACGTAGTTTTACCAGACCACAATTTTGAGCATTGTTTCTTCAATCTGTGAAGTACAAAGATCGGATTACTTAAATATTTCTGGAGCTGTAATATCTGTAAATGCTTGGTAAAAAGGAGGCATAATCTACCAAAATAACCAAACAAAGGAAATAAATGAGTAAAATATTTCTGTATGGAAAGAATAGTTGATGGATTTTCAGCTTTTAAAATATTTCCGATATTTTAATTTGTCTTCAGCAATTAGAGGTGTACTGAATTTTTCATAACCCATTTATGTAGAAAAATGCATGCATATTGTACAGGAGAAAATGGGGACTACATGAATTTAGAGAAATCAGTTGTCAGCTGTCTGTTGTATGCTTTGTGTTCAGTGCTGATGTAGCAGTGTTGTATATATAATATTGTATGTAATGGTGTACTGTGAATTTATGCACATTTATTTGCAATCTTTAAGTGTTAATAAGCTTAACTGTCCATATTTGCTGTGGTTTTGATAGTTTTATGACATGTTTTTGCCCTTGTTGTTGTACTTGTATGCTAATATGTTTTTAAACCTCCTTGGTGTGATCTTGTGAAAAGAATTTCATAAATTTTTATGAGGAGTTCTAAACCTTAAAAAGGTTGATGGTGTTACAGGACCATTGGTAGCAAATTGATAATTAAGAATGTATGCAGACATTCACTTAAAGCTGGTTGAAAATCCTGTATTTACACTTAAATGCCTAGACCTAGTTTCCAGATTTTCCACAGTAAATCTTCAGAAGATAGTTGTACTCTCTCTAGTATTTCTGTGGCCAAACATTTACTAACTGCTGCAACAGAAATTTAACTTCTTGGTTTTGAAAGTGCATTGAATTTTTTCTTCTGTCTCTCTCCAGCTGTAGAAGCACATCCACTACCAGTTTCAAAGTTCAAATTTTAACAGATTAAAGAATAGGAAATGCTTTGGGTTTTTTATGACTAGAAATAAATAAATTCTTATTTTTGTAAAGAAAAATCATTTAGAATCTGGTTAATTGGTCTAATTTCTGATACTGGCTGCTGGGCTCGGATAGTCTTCTCTGGTTCTTAGCTGGCACTCCTGACGGCTTTTCAGTCCTCTGTAGTATGTAACATCCATCTTCAACTCCATATTGCTTAATTTATTTTAGCAAAATTTCAGTCACGCAAAATGTTGATGAAAATGCTGTGACAGGGAAACCAACATGACAGATAAAGAAGCTTTTTATATTCTTGACCTGCTATCTTTTCTTCCTTCAGCTGGTTGTCCTGCTCTCACATAGTCCTTTTTGCTGTGATAGGCAATATTTTTTCAGTCTTGCATGTTACTGGTACCAAAGAAAGCATTACTGCAATAACCCAATAATTTGACGCTATTGAGACATTTGAATTATTAGACCTTTCATGGGTCTCTTGATCTTGCCCTTCTCACGGTGATATCCCAGCCAGTCTGATCTCTTTGGTGGCTCTGGATGTATGTGAAAGACATTAACTGCCCTGCAGTGTGGAGCACAGCCAAAACTGGGAGATCATATAAACCTTGTGGATCATATATTTTCACGCAAAAACGTCCCTCCTTCAAGGAACCTCTGGCTTGAAACATAGCAGCTCTGCTCTGCTACCATAGTTGTCTGGGAAGGGAACATCCCCAGTGGAGGAGGAGAAGGAGCATCAGGTCCTTACAGTCACTACCTCGCTCATGGGCAGGAGAACCTGTTGATGTAACAGAGTTTCTAAATACTGCAGTAGCTTTCAATGTTGGTTTACTGTATAGTGAAATCTTTTGTTCTTACTTATTTATTTATTTATTTATTCTGCTATATTAGAGTTACCTTTTAGGTCAGAAAGTTTAATGCATTCATCTCAGCTAAAAAGTGCATGTCTGTTAATTTGAAGTATAGATCAGTTTGCAAAGGAATGAATTTCTGTCCTAGCAATTCAGTAATCTTTAGCAACTGTAGGTTTAAATAAAACCTGTTAAGCTTAAAAACAAAAGGGATTTTTGCCAGCACTAAGAAGAGTGCACTATTATTATAAAACAACTAAGCAACCCATTTATTGAGCACCGACTACCTCTACGTTCTGTACTAAACAGTTCTCTCCTGCAGTTCCCCAAATGTTGCTTATTCCTTTTATCTGTATATGCTTTCTGGGGTTGTAAATTGTTGAGGTGGTTGACTCTTTTTCTGGAATAAATAATTTACTGTTCCAGAATCAGTTCAGCATTTGCATTGCTCTACTAAGTCCTGATCCAGTTTTCATTGAACATAATTGCTATTTGCAACAATTTGAAGCTGTTACCAAAATTTCCTCTCTTGTCTTCATATTTTTTGAGTCTTTAATGTTTTATCTACAGGTTTTTTACCTTCTAAGTGTAGCATCAGCTGTAATATTTTCCAGATGTCAGGCTCACCTTGGGTGCATGGTCTTGTAGTACATTTGACAGGACTTAAAACAGAAGGTATCAAATCACAGACTGAGAACACTTTAATGTGTGTTGCTGCCTTATCAGCAGTTTTCTTTACTGCTTGTTTTTAGAAATGGAGCAAGTACAGCTTTGCTTTTTTACATGCCGCAGGTCTGGTTTCAAATGAAGCACTTGGGAAAACAGTCACATAATTAGTAGTCTCAGTACATTTGGGTGAGAATGAAATGATGTGAAATAGGCTTAGGACATTCTAGGTGACCCTTTAGAAAACAAATCATGTTTAATATTCTTAATTAATCTTTGCTAACTAGTTAACAGTGATCTTGCCAAGAGAGGAAAAGATAATCTACATGACAGGCTTTTAAGCTGTTAAGAGTTTAGCTCTGGGCTTTTTTGATAACAAAACCATTGTGAACTGCAGCTGATCTTGTTTAGGGAAGTCATCCTTAAAATGACAGCAATTTGCAATTAGTCTTTCTCTTTGAAGAACTTTACCCGAAAATTCCCTTGACTATGCTGAAAACCTGCATTCCTTTTAAACTATCTTTCACGCTATTTGCATATATTTTTACGTTGATTTGTATTTGTTGAGTCCTGTTTTACCCAAAATATGAATGTGCACCAAGGAACACTTTAACAGGAGGGGAAGAATTGTTTATTTGGACACCTCAGCAGATTAATCTGCACTGGGGGCAGTACTGATTTGGGTACTCAGACTGGCACTCTGCAATAGTAGAATCACAGAGGAATTTAGGCTTAGCGGGAGGTCTGGAGATTATCTGATTCAACTTCCAGCTCAAAGCAGGGTCAGCCAGCAAGTTAGATCCAGTTGCTTGGGCTCATATCTAGTAGCATTTTGAATATCCATAAGGATGGAAATTGTACCCTTTCTGGGCCCTTCTTAAGTGTCGACTTTCACTGTGAAAGTTTTACTAACGTTACACTGGAATTTTCTTTGTTGTAACTCACGTCCACTGACCCTCATCCTTTTGCTGCATACATACAAGAAGAGCCCAGCGTTGTCTTTTCTATGATCTTCATTACATAGCTGAAGCCAGCATCATGATCCTGCCTTAGCGTTCTCTGCTTGAGTCTTAACAAATATAGCTTTAATAATCTTGGTGGCCTTCCACTAGAGGTTCTCCAGGACGTTAGTGTTTTGTGTTGAGCCCCAAACTGGACAACTGTTGTCTAGAGCCAAAAGGAGGAGATTAGCAGTTTCACTTGAGCTGATAGGTACAGTGTGCAGTTAGTCTTTCATTGTTGCAAAAAGATCCTCTGCTGACTTATGTTCAACTTGTCAGAAAGTTTCAGATGGACATGAACTAGACATGACTTCCAGAAGGATTTGCTGCAGTCTTTCTGGGGTCAGGCTGACCAGCCTGTAGTTTCTATAGGTATAAACTTATGGATCACCCTCCTTGCTTTTCTTGAAGATGAGTTGAGATCTTTCCTTTTTCATCAGAAATCTCTCCGCATCTCCAATAGAAAATTATGTAGAGTGGTCTTGTAATGTCATCAGCTAGTGCTCTCAGCATTCAGATTTATTTTATTTGATATAATGAAGTATTTCCTTTTCAGTTTCATACAAAATGTTGCATGCAAAGTTTTTCAAGTAGCTTCCTATACCGAAACTTTATCATGGTTACAAAGTTGAGAAAAGTTAGGGAACACCAAGCTTAAAGCTGTCCATACAATCCCAGTTGTCCCCTTTCATCCTCATATAAATGCATATTACACCACCTTTATTACATTATCACATTTGGTTCCTCTCCCCCTACCCTTTTCTTTTCTGGAAGAGTCCTTGAGCTATTCTGCTTTCGTTGCAGACTAGGCATCATTTAGATTGAATCAGTATTGTGATAAATAAGAATATAAGAATCCTGGTTTATGTATTGTATAACTTGGATGAGGGTATTGAAGAATCAGGGAATTTGGGAATGAGGAGGAAGGATTTAGTGTGAGTAGTGAGTAAGTAACTGAAGGCTGCTCTTCAGAACTGGATTTTTCTCCTTGTCTCTGCCTCAAAATGTCTTTGGTAGTTGTTCATTCTTCCCCTTACGGTTGGTGATAGCTGCCCTTTGAATATGTGGGAAGCTGTTAAAATAGGAAGTTTAGTGATGGACTTGAACCTTGGATGTCTCTGGTCAAAGTTAGCAGGCACTCCAGTTTTACTCATAGTGTTCCTGTGACTTAGTTTGCCATCTGTAACTGAGGATCATAAATCTGTGTGGTTTTTTTCATGTTAAGAATGGGGATGTAACACTGAGAAGTGTGCTGAAGAAGCACCTAGGGGAATGGGTAAACTCAGTAAGTAAGACCTCAGACTTCATCATTGACTGATAAATAATTGCTATGAAGCAAACATCCATCTGTTTCAATGAACACACTTATTCCTCGTTGAACAGCAGAGCAGTGGATACATGCAATTGCTCTCTGGTTCAATATGTGAAAAGTATTGAGCATGCAGTGGAGCACAGGCTGTCGCTGGTGTCTCTGCTTGTTTCTGGAACAAAAAGTTATGCTTGCCGAAGAAGCAGTTTTTCCTTTCAGCTGTCAGGTGAGGAGGGAGGCAGAAAACCCAGTGCCTCATTTCCACTGAGGATGGAACAGTTATGCCTGTGAATGACATGAGGAAAAGCTGTAGTTACTGAACAATGAGTGTGTTAATGTTTAGTTGCACAGCAATTAGTGTATTAGTGATGAATACTTTTTATCCTTTTGAAAAAATATTATAAATAGATGGGAGAAGTGAAGTTATTATGATGGGAAGTGGGCCTTGGTATCAGTTGATCAGCCGTAAGTTAGAATGTTTTGGCAGCTTTAAGAATTTGAGGAAAGTGTTGAGTCGTTTTTTTCTATCATTTTTTTCCCTGCTCTATGTATATAACTTTGTAATTCCTTTGGCTATAAAACTGAAGGAAAGGGAGGGGAAAAAAGAGGGTTTTTTACATCCTTACTTCAGAGATTTCATTATGAAGGACTCGCTTAAAATAAAAAAAATTATAAATTGCCAGGGCAGGCTTTACTTTTTCTCGCCTATCACAAACATCGTGTTTCTGTAGAAATCTCTTACGTTTGACTTGCATGGAAAAGCAGAGGCTATTGTTGTCTTCATAAGACTTTCGATAATCACGTCCTACAGCAGCTTAATGGTCAGAAAGAGGAACATGTTCATGAAAAAGATGATGATGCAAGTTCTCTCTGTAGTAGAGTTGTAATCAACAAAGTAAATGTAATTGTTTTAATTCTGCTGAGATTTATTCAAGTAAAGGTACTAAAATTATTAATATTTAATGCATTATTATGCATAGATGTACTTCTGGCCTGTACTATTGCAGGTCTTGAACAGAGCAGGTAAAAACTGTAGCTGGCACAATATTCAGGAAACATCTTTTTTTTTAAGCAGAAGTCGTGCCTGTACAACATAGGCAAGTACTTCTGATGTTTCTACAGGCATCACTTGGAATGTAATCTTACTCTTCCACAGTGTTTGCACTATTATCTTTGCCTCAAGAAGGGACTTTTAAGAAATGGACTGAGAACAGAATAATGACTTACAGTGATGTTTAGGTTTTAAAATGTGACAGATAGATGAGCTTAAGATGAGGAGAAAGATAGATGGGAACAGTGTGCAAAGGAAAGTTCTGATACATCTCAGATAGAAAGGTGTGGATTGGTCTAGACAGCACTGATTTCACATTAAATGAAAGTGAACCAAAAATGAGGTTAAGTCAAAAATGTGTTTCAGTCAAAGTTGAAATTACTTTGTCCTACTGAACCCAAATCTGCATGAAGCGTAACGTAAGTTCTTTAAGGCACGTTCCTTCAAAGACAGCTATTTTCTGGCTGTATGTTATGGTTCTCCCACTTTGATTCATTAATGTGGGTTTTGTGCTTATGTACGTGTTTTCATAAAGGTCCTACCTGACTTAAGCCTACTGAGGTCTCATTGGTTATGGGAAGACACAGTCCTTGCCAACTCCATCATGCTGGCCATAGTGCTTCCAGTGTCAGTCAAAATGGATAGTTAATAACATTGAAAATTAATATAATCGAAGGAGACCCCTTAGGATTGGTCTTCAGTCAGATCCTTTTCTCACAGAGAGGGACTAACAGAAACATGCCTGTCAGATGTAAGGTGAAATTAGATCTCTTAAACTCATTATAAACTGCCTCATATAAGATACTTTTCCTGTGCTATCTTGAAGCAGATAAAGTCAGAAGCTGTAGCATATATGTAGGATGAAGTACCTTTTCTTGTCTCATACAACTGTTAATCCTGAGAAGCAGTCCAGAGTTCAGCTAAGTCATTTCAGTAGAAGGAGGGAAGAGTGGGAGACAACTTGCAAGCAATCTGTTGAAATGAAAATTTGTCATTGCTGCAGAAGCTGCTTACAGAACTTGCCTGTTTCCCAAGAAGGCCATTTTGTCTATCTTTCCAAGGTTAGACCTGAGTTGAGATGCTCTTACTGGCCCAGCAAAGTCTTACGCAGAGGCCAGCGCTGCCAGTGGTGCAGAAGACATTAATTATGTAGTACTTTGTGGTGTGGGCCACTGCCTGTCAAAGATCAGTAACAAAGGTCACTATATGCATTTCGATTAGGAGAGCATGCTCTCTGAGGTGGGTTTTTTCCCCCCTTTCTTTATTGTTTTTTCAGCCTAGCAATCCAGAGATGGTGTTTTTCTGTCTCTAGAAAAAGTAGAGTAGAAGAGCTAAGAAAACAGCTCTTCAGAAGACAAGGATCTAAAATTATCTTCATATAAATAAAGTAACAATTGTATACTTCTTGTCTTTACAGATGCTTTGAAAACAAATTAAATCCAATTTGAAGGTTCCCTTGTCTAGCATCAAGTAAACATCAAGCAATTTACAGTTTCCTAACACTTGCACAAGAAATGAAGACAGTCTTACAGAATGAGTCTTTTGGGCATAATTTATGTAAAGTTCATGTGAGCATACCTACGTAACAGTATTTAACAGTAAGATTAGACACGAATGGAGAGAGAGCACAATCTGCATATCAGAGGTTAATGGTTCTTCTTTCCATCTGTGACTTGAATAACCATCACTGACTGTTCAGCCTTCATTTCTATTGATGGCAGCTTTGAAAAATCGTGAAATGGCATGCCTTCACTATCAGTGAGCGACAGCTTGCATTAAACTGCTAAGTTTTGATGTAACATTCATTGATTTCTTTAAGATTGAGTGTTGAGGATGACAAACAGAAATATGTTTAAAAATGCCACAGGTATGAACTTGTTTGTTTATCTCATCCCTCTTGTGCTTTCTCAAGCATCAAGATCTTACATTATGAGCTTTTGTAGCGAGACACTGGCAATTCTGTCATTTGGATGCTGTTGTAACTACATGCTTCTCAGTTTTGTCTTTAGGAGTTGGATCTGTGCTGTACATTGTGAAGTCTTGGAATAGCAAATGGAAAAGAAAGAAGCATTAGATAAATGCACGTAGTTATCTAAAATACTTTTTAGTCTGTCAAATACTTGATTAGAAATTTTGAGTTAATGTGCATGAACTGTCCTACATCTGTTTTTTACATACTTCTCAGAGGTCTGGAATTGAGTGGTGTCTGCTTCCAGAGAACGTGTCCACCGAAGTCTGTGTTCAGGATTATTTCCCTTACTCAGAGACCATTTTAAAGGTCTGAAGTGAATAGACTTCCTTTTTTTTCTCTGCACTTCTTTTCCAGCTGAGCAGCCGGGCAACTTAAAAATACCGGTGTGTTATCCGCATCAAAATTCAGGAGACTGATTTTCAGGATATTGCTTCTCTTGTTGCTTCCTTTTATCACTGTTCCAGTTACTTTGGTCATATTACTGATCTGAGTCTCTCTCTTAATGTATTGCCATTTGTGTAGTGCAAATAACAAAGTTTTGTCAAACCCAAAACATTTATTAATAGTTCATCCGCTTTTGATGGTAGCAAGTCTTTCCTGTGCTTTCACTTTACTTGGAACACTGGACTTCCCTAATGAATGATCTCCAACATGAGAAGGCTGACATCTTATAAAATCAAAATGAAATGAAGAACATAGGTTGTTAACAATACACAGTAATTTAGTTCTTGACAGCTTTGATTTGAGCAGGAAAATGAATGAATTGGACAATAAATATGTGTATTATTGTGAAACTTGAAAGGTTAGGGAGATTTGTGCGATGTCTCAATGCACTGAGCTTTCTTCTGTAAAGACATAATTTTTAAATTCTGGTTATGCATCCAAATAAAAGTGAGCTTGCTATTCTTCCATGCCTTCAAATGCTTCTCCAATTCGCAAAATCAGATACATAATTTTAAAGAATTCAGCATGCTTGGTAATATATGTTTCAAGACAGGACCCTTTAGGGCATCAGGGTTGACTTACATAGGCAGAAGGGCTGGAAAAGCTTGATTGGCTTCACCTGTACCCTGTGCTTTGTTCAGACTTCTACTGTTAATCCCTCATTTTTCTGTGCACCCAGGTTATACAACATATGTTCACATAAATTTACCTGTTCCCTGAATTCTTTCTTCCTCCTTAAAGTGCTAATTTTGGGCTTTGAAAGAGAGGACCAATCCCCACAAGCCTCCAGTTTTTGATGGGATCAAGTGTTTTGAGAAAAATATTGCTGTGAAAAGAAACCGCGTTCTCCCCCTTTTGGGTGAGGTCCTTAACTTTTGAGACTTTCTTCTATTTTTAGAGTGTGTTTTAAAGAGGATGTATTATCCCACTAATGCTGCTCACAGGCAACTGAGAAAAAGATCTGTATAGCATTTCATAACACTGTAACTTTTGTTGAATTTCTGAGTGTGCTATTTGAACTGATCACAAAAAAACTTTTAATAAACTCTTCCCACAGAAACTGAAACAGAAGAATCAGCAGCTGAAGCAGATCATGGATCAGTTACGGAATCTTATTTGGGACATAAATGCCATGTTGGCAATGCGGAACTGAACAAGGAAAATCAGACTTTGTAATTGGAAAAGATACAAATTTGTTTGTATAGACTTAATTTCTTTCTAAGAAGTAACATGTTTTCCTACAACCATATTGCAGTAATGTTTGAAAAGTCTTCAAGATTAAAATGTTGGGTTTTTGTAATAACTTGCATGGTGTTGCCTTTGTTTTTGTAGAAGATTCATCCTACAGGTTTTACCTGAGTGATTCACTTAGGCTGAATATAATGCAGCCTAAGTAACTTACAGTAATAATTCAGGTTGCTATGCAAATAGGGGGTTTTATAAATGAAGTGTTTCTGGATTTTTTTATAATACAGTTAACATGGCTTTAAAAACGTGTTTGCCTGCCATTCTGCAGTGCAAACCACCTCTACAGACCGGAAAAGTTGCAATGCAGAGAAGTTGCTACAGGACTGAAATAGTGATCAGATTTTACAATGCTATATGTTTCCCCATTGCGGGAGCATATACTACAGGCTACTATGCCATGTAAGTTCATCTTATTCCATATCCTATCACTGGATATATGTCATACTAGATAAACTGGAGCAAAATTCAAAAGCCACATAAAATTACCCCTATATCCTTATGGATTTAATCAAGTCTTTTTAAGTGAAGACTACATACATACAGCCTCAACATTAGCTTCTTCGATAACTACATGGTATAATTTCTTGAATACTCCAGCTATTGTATGGTTGGAATACTTTGGGTTTGTTTACCAGAATGCACTGAATAAATGCCTCATTAATCTCTTCCCTATGACTGCCAGTCCTAGAAAACTTCGGAGTGATGAGCAGTTCATTATTTTGAGTAAATCATCAACATTCATAGTTCTTTGTTCTGCCTCTGGTATTCCTCACAATTTTCATTAGCCCTGAAAATAGTCTTAACGATTTTTGTTATCCACAGATGCTGCCAGTGGACTATGTGGCTCTTTTTCCAGATGAAAGTATATGTAAAATAGCACTATTTCAGTACAAATTCATAGGGCAGTCTACTGTTATTATTTGTCAAGTTGAAAACTGGCCATCCTCATTATTTGCTTCTTGTGTATTACTTTTAACTCTCATTCCATGCCCAGTCAGATTCCTTAATAGTTTGTGTGAAAGATTTGCTTAGAACCTTCTGAAGAGTCCAGCTAAATGCTGTGCTTTTATAAGATACCCTTTTTACAATATGGGAGCTTGATACTGAATGCTTATTGATTTGAGATATATGGTTTTAAAAATGTTATACTGGTTTGTTGTTCTATCAGTCTTTTTTAGTTTGGTTTTTAATAAGTTCAACCCATTTGTCTGCTCCTTGAGGTAAAAAAATCACTGGCATGTAATAGATCTGATCACACCTGGTTAACAATATATGACTTTTCCCTGAAATTAGGTACAATATAGTTGTCTTTTATTTCTCCTTTTGAAGGCTTTAAATCTTAAGAGATGAATGGATGCCCAATCTCATAATTGCAAATAAACAGAGTTAGAAAATCTTCGTTTTGATTAGTTTGCCCAGTGTTGAAAATGATAGGTAACTATGACAATACTTAGGTGTGAGTAAATGTCAAAACACCTTGCAAATAAGGTCGCTCTCTTTTCTCCCATGTTACAAATGGGAGAGTGGATAGCTTACTCAGTGGCAAAGCTAGCAGCAGAGCTGTTTCACATTTAGATTGACTGCTATGGCAGACTTATTGGTCAGAAATAATGGTTGCGTTCTGCACTGAGAGAGACCTAGTTATTTTATATACAAAGCTTTTGAAAAGGAGATGAAGATTACGAGTAGAGATTCTATTTTGTTGTTTGTTTAAAATGCAGGAGCATTTTTGTATTTGCAGGGTGTAGTGGCAGCTTTGTTTAGTGTATGTATAAGCATGCATCCAGCCTAGAAGAAGTATTTGAAGTGGATTTTGAAATGGCACAAACATTTTAATTGTGAGTGTAAAATTCTCAGTACTTAGGGATTTTTTTTCGTTCTGTTTTTGGAACAGTTATGGAAAATGGAGATTAGTCTAGATTTACTGCTTTTGTATACCATCTATTTATTCTTACTAAATGTCTTTAAAATTTGTTGATTTTTGTTATTGCATATAAACTGTGCGGAAGTAACCTAAAATGTGAATAAGAGTGCAAATATTGTGAGTAGATGTCTGGCCAATACAATATTCAGCTTACTCTATGCAGCTGCTAGCAGTAGCCAAGGTTTATACTACAATTTTTCATCTGGGAGAGAGGAGAAAACACTTTAAACCGCTACCAGAATAGATAGTGCAGTACCTAAATTGCAAAGAGCAAAAATTGACAGAATTGTAAATTATCACAGTAAATACTGTCAAAACAGGAACTTTGCAAGGTGTTGGACCAAAACCATAGACTTTGACTTACACAGATGAAAGTAAGGGTAGTGAACATAATTCATACGCTCCCGCATCCATGAATAATCATAGGATTTGGCCAAGAAGATGACGGTTTCAAGAAAAGTGGCAATTCCTCAGCTGTGAAATACTTTTAAAGGAATTACTGGGCATCAACATGTGATGAAATTTAATATTAAAGTTAATGCTGACTGAACTTTTAACTGCTGGTTAATGAAATGGCACCAAATGAAGTATTTGCAAACACCAGCAAAGCAATACCAATGCAGATGTTTCAATATTTTGTTTATATATCATTGACTATTTCTGTATTTCTGATGAGGCGGAAGTTGGATAAACCTACAGGCAGTCCCAGGAGCAGATAGCAGAACCTAGGATGGTTCCATTTTTAGAACATAAAAATATCTGAGGGAGTTGGGGTTCTTAGGGCTCTATTTTGCCCAGA